TCGACGTCTACAACAGGCATATGAGAAGGGGTCCAATCACAAATAATAGACCAATATCAGATCCATAGGATCTCAACTTCAGCAAAGAAGTGTATTAAACACATGCCGTCTATAAGCTGGCTTTCGTCCATTCGTGCAAGGATAGGATGTGAATCTACCCAAGAAGAGTATAACTTCATTAAGGGTTCTGGAATAATACCAATTTTAATACAATACGTTTCCCACCATTTATAGAACCAAGTAGGAACGCCCTTTTGAAGAGCTTCAGGACAAATTTTTATAAGCCAATTGTGCTTCTGTTTGGGATTCTAATATAAGAATATCTCATTAAAGGCCTGTTTATAGTCCCAATAATTGAAATTATAAACTTCTTTTGTATTTTGAACTCTAACAAGTGGCAGCTCCTGATTAGGATTTAGTGCCCAATTTCTAGGAAGTATAACTTCCTGAATAATGCATTTACTGAAGCTTGGAGGGACATTATGATTATCTGTTGTCCAAAAATACGTAATTTCCATGCCCTTTTGCATCAATAGAGTCTTCATCCACGCTCTTGGTTTTAAAGATAAAGTTGGATAATATGTATCCTGCAGATATCTCTGCCTTAATTTTTTTGGATCATTCATTAAGGGAACATCCTCTTGTTCTAGATGCAGAACAATATCAGACTGAGGTTTTTTAATCCATTCTATCTCTTGCTTTACTATAGAAGTAAATGGTTCAGGAGTTTGTTCTTGTGCAATAAGATCATTTATGCCTTTATAAAAGGCTTGAGATGGATGCGAAGAATTATGTTTCTTCGAAATAGTACGCCATGAACTAGTCTGAGATGGAGTATAACTCCTTTCTGAACTAGTTTGGCCTATAAGGCCTGAACTAGAAGTTGGGCTTGGGCCTCCTCTCCCCCTCCCTAAAAAAGAGGGATTACTCCATCTCATTTGTACCCTGTAAAAATTCACGAGTTAAAAAATCAGGAAGATGATTATAGTCACCTTTAATATACTCAATTTTAAATTGATACATGGCTAATTCAGCTTGTTATCTAGCAAAGATTTGCTTAGAAACTAGATTTTTCACATCCTTTTCAATAATGCTCTTTGCAGAACTACAATCTATTCTTAATAAGAATTCTTGATTTAAAATATCATCTCTGAATTTAGAGAAACATTTTATGATGGATAACATTTCTTTTTGAGAGGTAACTTGTTGCAATATTTGCAACAGAGCATTATTTTCATTTTCACTTTCACTCTGTTCATTTTGTTGAACTATATTTTATTACTTTCATTATCTTCATCAAGTCGTGAGAGAATATATTTATTCTCTTGTTTTAATTCTTTTACTTCCTTTACACGCAGTTACTTTGATTTATATGATGACAATAATTTTAAAGCTATCATATATTTTTAAAAAAATTATTCCTTATCTGAATATTTTTAATCAATTCTTACTTTTGTTTACCAGCATCAACTTAGACTACTTTTAGATGCTAAAAAGGAATAATAAACTCTAAACTGGAATATATATATATATATATATCTTAATGAAAGAATACCTAGCAACTACACTTTCTTTGCCAAGTTTTAAAATTTCAACCTTTTTTATTGTTTTAAACTTTAAGGGTGTGATTTGTAATTTTTAAAATTTTAGGAGTATTTTTAAAAATTACTTTTAAGTTTGGTAGTTATAACTTTTATGTTTCATGTGTCGGTGGTAATTTTTAAATATCATGATATTTCTTACAACTCTAAAATTTTGAGGTAGTTTTTTACAATTGTTAAAACTATAGATTAATTTTTAAAAAATTCAAATTTTAGCGGTCTACCAATAGTTTTCAGATTTGATGTGTATTGATTATAAATTTTAAAATTTTAGATTTTTTTATTATTTCTAAATTTTGAAAGAGTTTTTTCTACGACTTTTGTAACTTTGAGGTTAATTTCGACAAATTTTAATTTTTTAGGTGCATGAGGGTAATCTCTTTAATTCATCTTTTGTTATTTGTAAATTTTAAAATTTCGGAGTTGTTTTTTATAATTTAAACTTTTAAGTGTATTTCTATAATTTTTGGGACATTGAGGGTGTTAATTAAAAATTTTAAATTCTTAGAAGGCTGTTATTAATTTCTTAATTTTATATTTGTTATTTTAAGTTTTAAAATGTCAGAAATTTTCAGGTGTGTTATGGTAATTCCTTGAATTCATCTATGTTGTTTGTAAGTTTTAAAATTTTAGAATTTCAGGTGCTTGTTTGTAATTTGAACTTTTGAGGATGTTTCTAAAATTTTTGAGATATGAAGATGTTAACTATAAATTTTAAATTCTTTGCAAACAATTGTTAATTTTTTGATTTCATATTTTTTGTTTTAAGTTTTTAGACGTCGGGATAGTTTTTATAATTTTAAACTTTTCAGGGTATTTTGTGTAATTTTAAAAAAATTTAGGTTTTTTTACAATACTTTATGTATTATAATACGTTAGCTATGTATAATTTCTTTATCTTAACAAAATAATACCATGAAGATGTGTTATATATTTTATTAATATTATTTTTTAAATTGTTAAGCTATAAATACTTCACATAGGATTAGGATAGGATATAATTATGATTAGGATAGATTAAGATATAAATAAAATATTTAAAATAGTGAAGGGTAATATTGACTATAGAAAGATTTTCCCGAACTCGTGATTTTAAAGGGAGTATGATTAAGTTTAGTTTGAGATGAACTGTCTCATTAGACCCATCATATCATATCATACTCCCTTTAAAAGCACGAGTTCGAAAAAAAATCTTTCGGTAGACAAAAACACCCTTGGAATTTAAATATTATTCCATTAAGTAAGAGTAAGTTGATAAATTGATGAATTCTTATTGGATATACAAACCTCTGACAATTAACTTATCGACTCTCGTCAATAGAGCGATAGGCCCTCAAGGTTGCTCCGATCGCAACAAATTCTTGTCACGTTAATCCTACACCTCTGATAAAATCCACTTATCGACTTTCCCAATAGAGCGATAGGCCCTTAAAATTGCCCAGATCGTAATATTCTTCTTATCATGTTAATATCACACCTTTGACAAAATCAACTTATCGATTGTCTTCAATTGAGCGATAGGTCCACAAACCCGTCAAGTTAACATCACACCTCTGGAACTTCCAACTTTCTTTCAGTGTTTCAAGTGAAAACATAACACATGAAGAAACAGCGACAAAGCCTTCGCCTAACACGCATTGCCGGTTAGTCTTTTGTCGTGAAAAAGACACCAGAATCCACGTCTGGGGGACTTTATCTCGATCCTTAAATAGAGATAAGTCTATGCCTAATACGCATTACCGGTTAGTCTTTTCCCATGAAAATGACAAAGTCTATGTATTCAAAATCATAACATCAAGTCTAAGAGAGTTCATTCTCTTAGCACAACATTACATGTGAAATAGATTCAAATAATTTACATGCTAGTCCGACTCAAATGGTAGTCGGTAAAGGCTTATCAAATCCGTTGATGGCTGAGAGTTTGCCAAAAATCCTATGAATATTTGTCGGCCCATCAGCTGAATGGAGGTCCTGTGTGGAAAATCCCTTCAACCAAGATGCCTTCGAATCAGTTGCAGAGAACAACTCCTTTATGATAAGGAATCAACAGCTCCAAGAACAGAGTTGAGATCCAAAGTATTCCGAAAATTCGTCCCAATCAACCGCGAACTTTCGAAAAATTTAGAGGGGGTTCTATAGGCTGTCTAAAAATCACAACAGATAGCTTATCCCCATCAAACATCAACAATGGAGGTTACAATTCAACGACTTCCAGAAGGCTACAATTTAAAGACTTTCACGTAGATCGATAAATGTTACAAATCAACGACCTTCACGATAACCGATAAAAGCTTTGATCAATGGTCTTCAAAACCAATAATGAGAGTTGCAATCTGACGACTCTTATATTTCAAGGAGCTAAAGCGAAGATTACTAAATAATGATCGTCGCGACGTTCTGACAGAAGAGATTACAAGCCAATGATCTCTTCAATCCAAGATGCAGGACTCATCCCTGCATCCCAGAGGTGAAGCACAAGTGGCCTCATTCCAGAGTCAAAGCTATGCAAACGCAGCTCCTAAATGCTGCAAACGTAGCTTCCATTCGCTGCCAAATGCAGCTTCTAAATGCTACAGACATAGCTTCCATCTGCTGCCAAACGGAGCATCTAATTACTGCCAACGCATCTTCCAACCGCTGCCAAACATAGCTTCTAACCGCTGCCAACATAGCTTTAATAGCTGCCAACGCAGGTTCCATCTGTTGCCCAACGCAGCTCGTAAACACTGTGTTTAAACACAGATTTCATTCCAGAATGCAGGACCTACGTTTGACTCGTTCAAACACGAGTTAAACGGTTCCAGAAATCGTTTTCTCCCCATGATCTGAGGGATTTCCGCCTCCACTTAGGAGCGGATTAAGGAGGTGGTTACACCCCTTAATCCCTTATAAATAACTGAAAATTAAATCAGTTTAGTTAGAGGCTCTTCGGCTTGGGCAATCAGGCGGAGAGAGGGGAGGATATCTTTGGATCTTGGAGGACCTTGGAGATTTAGAGATTGGCTTCTTCAGATCATCTTCTCGGTAACAGATTCTTGGGGCTACCTTCATGCTTGGCTTGTCTAACCAATTACGGTTAAGATCAATCAACTCTTTTACAAGAGTTTAAACTCGCTCTGAGTTATTAATTCGTTCAGAGTTTCAAACTTACCACGCAAGTCCTCCACAGCGTCAAATCGTGAGGAGAAGATACCGTTCTAGTGAAACAAGACGTTCGGATCGTCAACGCGAAGCAAACTCGACATAAGTATTCGAGAGAGGCATCTCATCGCTACCGTGAAGAACCCAGATTTAAACAAAGGGGAGAATTCAGATCAATTATCCTCTCTTTTGTAATCGGAAATCCAAATTGTAATTAAGATCGAGAGAATACAAATCAAATTTCTTTCATTTTATTTACTACAAATTTTCTACCAAACAGTAAGCAAAAGAGGATTCTTCATTTACAACTGAGTTAGGTACAGTAGTACCGATCTTATACATACCATTAGTACGATATGCATTGCCAAAATACATTTTCTTAAAAGATAACACAACCTTTCCTCCTTGGAAATCCAGCCTCATACCAGCGTCACACAGCAGGCTTCCAGAGACTAAGTTTTTGGTAATTGAGGGAACATATTTCACATCCTTCAATGCGAGAGTCTTCCCTGAAGAAAGAGTCAACACCACAGTCCCAGTTCCAAGAACAAGAACCACAGAACGACCAACCATTGATACGTTCTCTTTGGCAGCAACATAGGAAGAGAATAAATCTCTGTTGGAGCAGACATGACAAGTAGCACCTGTATCTAACCACCAACCAGAGACTTTGCTGGGAGTTATCACCTGAAAGAGCATAGCCACACAATTGTCAAGTTGATTAACATTGTGTATTGTTCCCTTCTTTGGTGCTTTGCAGTCTTTGGAAAAATGTCCTTGCTTCCCACAATTGAAGCATTTGCCGCTCTTCTAGAAATCTTTCTTCTGAACATTCAGGTTCTTCGGATTATGATTCTTCTTTTTGTTAAAAGACTTTTTTTTCTTAGAAGAACTGGTACCCTTCTTAGAATTAATAGCCACTATGTTAGCAGACACCTTCTACTTAGCTACGAGCTCATTCTTTATGCGAGTCCGAATCTCGTCCTCGATCCGAATGAACCTCTTCAAATCAAATAAAGTCACATGTCTTTTCCTTCTTCGGATGTCCGTGGAGAACGAAATCCAAGATGGAGGAAGCTTGTTAACAATTGTACCAAAAATGAAGGTTTGACAAAGACTGATTTTTTCATCCTTCAGCTTCATAACAAGCTTTTCGAGTTCTTTAATTTGAGGCAAACCTCAGTGTCATCTTCAAACTTAAAGTCCAGAAATTTGTCAATGAGGTGAGACTTGGAAAGCTTCTCCTCATCCTTGTATTGCTCCTCCAGAACATTCCAGATTTCCTTTGCAGAGGGCTTATTGGTGTAAGCATCTGCTAGATGATCAGCCAGGAAGTTAAAGAGATAACTCCTACAGAAATGATCATCTTTATCTCAAGAGGCTTCAGACTCTGAGTCTTCTTCAAAGTCAAGTTTCTCCTCAGAAAACACATAGTAGATTTTTAGGAGTTGCATCCCAAAAATCACTTTTCGACGCCATGCGTTAAAGTTAGATCTATCAAAGTTTTCTAACTTGAGATAGTCCACTCCAAGAGTCCTCACAAGATCCATTAGTAGATCTGAAATATTGCTTTAAGATTGTTGGAAATTATGGTTAAATCTGGAATTAAACAGTGAAGGATGACGTGCTGTTATTTTAAACAATTTTAATTAACTACTGTGCGTTTGTGAAACGCTGTGCTTAAAGCAATATTTAGTCTACTCCGGTGCAAGGATCCCAAGGCCAAACTGCTTCCAGGAACAACAATATAGTACTCTGGTGTGTATCAACCCAGTACTGTCAAGATCTCCTTGATCTATAAGACCTTTCGGTCAAGGCAAAAGATCTCCTCGATCTCAGAACCTTTCGGTTTTAGGGTTCCCGCGGGCACAGTTTCTGTAGCAACAGCACAACAACAACGTCAATCTGACGTTCGTATTCCAAGCTCGCGTGGGTATTCCGACGTTCGTATTCTATACTGATGTTCGTATTCCACGCTCGCGAGAGAGTTTTCCAGCTTCTAACCAAGAGCTGCCCAAGGGCGCTATTTATAGGCCTCTAAGGCCAGCTCAATAGTCACTAGTAATTAATGTGACTGTTACAATTCTTAATGACAATTAAGATTGTAACATCAATGCATTAAATTGCTCTTAATGCTGTTGTAATTGCTGCATGCAGTAACTGCTGAATACGAGGCAATCAATGGACGCGTTGCTACGAAATGCGAGGGTCACGTCTCTGCAAATCAGACGAACCTCGTTTGACAAACGAACGTCGTCAAACAGGTGAACCTCGTATGACAGACGAACCTCGTCGAATGAGTGAACATCGTCAAACAGGCGAACCTCGTCGATTGAGCGAACCTCGTATGACAGACGAACCTCGTCAAACAAGCGAACCTCGTATGACAGACGAACCTCGTCGAACGAACGAACATCGTCAAATAGGCAAACCTCGTATGACAAATGAACCTCGTCAAACGAACGAACATCGTCAAACTACGAGAACGCTAGGATCACGCTCGTGCGAAGTGTAAAGTACGCCTAACAAAGCGCCACTTAGCGTCTCAGCCCGATTAGCCCCAATCCCCGGCCCATTGGCCCACAGCCCATGACCCACTAAAACTTATGAGGGATTAATTCAAATAAAACACTTCTCGGCTTGCCGTTGACAAGCCTCGAACACGGGACCTTCTGAAACACCAAAACATAAACTTTCCACTGGGCTACTAAGCATTTATGAAAAGTACTTGTAGTTAATATATATATAGTTTGAAAACTCATTTTGGAAAGCAGTTTTTACCAAAAAAAATCCAACAAAAAAATGGCTGCCATTTTTGTATAAAGTTGAGGAGCAATGTCACAATCGGTCATTCAAACTTGGTGGATAGTGGCCCAAACCCGCTCTATACAAAGGCAGTTTCTAGACTTTAATTGATAAACTTTCATTTTACTAAAATTTTGTCCTAATTGTTTTTACTCTGTGCAAATCCAAGGTTTCATTCGAAACTATTATACAGTAATTAGAACCTTCAGCTCCAATTCGAAGATACCTCATGGGTCATGTGGCTCACGGATGGTTGACCTATTTTGAGATGATCGTGGGCAAACTTTGATCATATAAACTTTTTTTTGGATATGTTTCACATAACAAAGTTCAGGGGGTTTATGTGCAAAAACCCCAAAGTGAAATTTACCCCTATTTTCCTGCGAGGGTCTAAAAGTCTCCCTCTCCTCTTCGTCACTCTCGATGCTCCCCTCTTCTTCTCTCCGTTCTCTCCGACCTACGACGAGCTCTCCACGCCGGATTCCGACCCTTGCACGACGTATCGGGTCGGGTCCTATCATACTGTCTCTACCCGCAACCCACAGTGCCCCCACGCTAAAGCTCAATCCGTCCATGGAAAATTCAGATGCGGTCCTTCACCGTGAGTCACAATCTCCTTCCCCAATCCAGATGGATAGGAACCTAGGGTTTCGTCGAGATGCGGAACTAGGGTTTCTCTCTCTCCTCTTCGTCGTGTCTTTGGTAATCATCGCCATCTACTCTCGAGACTGTTCTTCTCAGTTTGAACTATTAATTGACATTTAAAAAGTAACTTCGTGTTTAGATTCAGGGACTGTTGAATGCGATAACGTTTCACGAACTATTCAGCCTTTCTATTCTAATTATTGAGGGGAAAATGGTCAAAGTTGGATTTTTTTTTGTTGGAGTTAAAATTTTGAAGAAGAGAAAAAATCGGTTAGCTGCTTGTTAGGTGTACGTGTGAATAGGTTAATGGTAGCAATCTTGCATCGTGCGCTTTTGGGCACTTTCATTGTATGTTAATATGGTCATTGGTTAGTTTTTTCAGTATGTTAATAGTGTTATCGCGTTCTAAACAGCCATATCCTTGGTAAGACCACTGAAAAGGACAGGTGGTCCAAAGAGGATCCATTCACGAAGTAGAGAACATTCCATGGACTAATGATCTGGTTAGCTAGAATTATGCTGATGATACCACCCCCATCTTAGTCCGCAATCCGAGATTGCACTTCATGAATATCACATACATAACCTTCCCAGCAATAATAATGTAGCTAACGGTGCAAAGAGACATAGAGGTTAGAAGAAATTAACAAGGATGCGATAATATAGGATATGATAATACTGGAGGAGATGACCCAAAGTAGAGTTGTTTTGAAGAATAGGATTCATGTAGCTGATCTCAGAAGTTTTGGGATAAAGGCTTTGTCGTCATCGATTTTGTTGATAACTTTCCCCAGCGATGATAACACTTTTGCATTGAAGAATAGACCCTACTATTTAACTACCTGGGTGAACCAATCAAGGAACATCACTAACGACACCAGGCTGTCTTTCCAGAAGATCCTCTCTCTAGAGGAGGTAGGTCGAGTCTTGTGTACTTTGTGCTTTCGTGCATGCCACTTCACTTAATGTATTGGCATTATCATTTTAACAGAGCTACTTAAACTTAATACAAAGGTCACAAATATCGATATGAACCAGTGATATGGTTGACCATGGAAATTTTTTGTACCATAATCGCATTCACATAGTTTGTTTCCTTTTTACCCAATTTTTCGCTTTAACCCATTTTATGAATTAAAAAAAATCAATTTTTAGATTGCAAAAATACAAGAAATGAAAAAAAAGTTCACATCATTAATCTGTTAAATATTTGAGTTTAGACTCACGAAATGATCGCAATGGGCATATATACATAGTTTAAGGGGAAAATAGGTAAATTGATACTTTAGGGGGACAACTTGAGAGTTCATCAATACTTTAAGGGGGAAATGGTCATTTTGTCCTTCTAATTTTCATCATTCAAATAGAACTGTGGTTGAATCACCTGTGCGGCATTAGTGCCTCATCTATTATTTTGTGCTTCGGTCCATGTCATGTGATACTTGATCGATTTATTAAGTACCTATGCTAATCATGTCTCAGTTGCAGGCTTAAGTGATGTTCTTATGCATGATTGTTGGTTTTTTAACTTTATAAAGTAAATATGTGCTGTATCTTTCTTATTGCCTATTTATATTAATTGAAGGCCCGAAAATGACCTCATATATTTAAGAACAAATGTCGACTTAAATTAAACCATCCTTTCCTTCTCCATCTAAATAAATTAAACTGTCTGTTTTTGTGGCTATTCTCATTTTCTTTCCCAGTATCCTAGCTCTGTTACTTCTATGATTGATCTGGTCTTCTTCTCGAATCAAATTTGTTGTATATAATAGCTAAATAATTGGATGCTCATTTTATTTATATGGATTTTTCTTGCAGGCAATGGGATCATTTATCTCAGTGGCACTTGTCTCTCTTCCTGCTCTAAATGTGAGAAAATTCTCGGGTTACATGTCTCTTTCTGTTTAGTTGTAATGCTGCTTTACTTTGCACTGATGCTTATGGTTCTGTGTCAGGCATTTAGAAAGTTAGCTATTTCTATGGACAAACTGAAAAAGGTAGTTTCAGAAGAAGTACCTGGAACTTTATCTTCGTTAAAGCTTTCGAGCTTGGAGATTAATGATTTGACCAGCCAGCTTAAATACCTGAGGTACTATTTCTCTGTTCAGCGTCTGGATTGCTTCAGTTACATATAATGATTTACTCTTCTTTCTTCTTTAAAATGTGAAAGGCAAAGAATATCTGGAAGTCAGTCTGGAGAGAAAATTCGAGCAAGTAAACGAAGATCTCATGGAGGAAGAATTTGATCTCATTATAAACTGACCTATATATTTAGGTGTCTACTATATGAGGTATTGCTCTTTCCGTGTTTTGCATTGGTTCTCGTTTGGGTATATATGTATGTAATATGTATGATTTATCGGCAAAATATTTGTGGTTACTTCATGTGTCCTGATATCCTTTTTCGTTTGGACTCTAATGATCTATATTGTGGCTTCTTTACTTTATGTTGTTTCCTAACAATAAGCCTCTTTGATTTATTGTTATTCTCTTGCTCTGTTGCCTTTGTTCTTTTTCATATGACTATCTCTTGTGCAAACTAAAACCAGCCTCTATTCTCATAATGCAGCTTATACAATATCGTTTTCCATTGACATTTTTAACAGGAAGTTTTATTCATCATGGGGTGAACTGAAGCAACAAAAGTTGATAAAGAGATGTATTACTAATTAACAAGGCACTCTGCATCAAAAATTAACAAGACACTAGTTTTCTTATGATATGATTTCAGGAGAGAAGTTGATAGCAGAACGTCACAGCTTAATGCATATTTGTTTTGATAAGAAGGGACTGAGTACGGAAAATCTATCTGTCAATTTTCCATGAACTATGAGTTGGGGGCTCATACTAGTTTAGTATAAACCACATCTCTGAAAGTTGAGAGAAAAGTAAACCTTAGGAGTAGGATTTGATGAATTTATAAGCTAACTATGTAATTTGGTGGCAAGATGTGGCATCAGATATTGCTACTCTTGCTTTTAATTACAATATATAGCACCTAAGAAACATAATTCAAAATAATTGCAAGTGAAAAGTCACGGGTTATAACCATAAAAACCGTGCATTTCAAATTCTGCATACTTAATTGCATTGGATTGAAACAAAAATTGTGCATTGTAAATTCAGCATACTTAATTGCATTGGATCGAAGAAATCATGAATTAGAGATCACGAAATCATGAACTTTGAAGTATCCCTATATACTTGCCATTGGGTCGAAACAAACACAAATGGCCAAAAACTATGGGTCGAAACAAACACAAATGGCCAAAAACTATGAGTAGCTTATGAAAATGTCAGTTTTGAAATACATATAATTAAGTGTCATTGGATCAAAAGGTTATGAATTTGAAGTATTCATACATAATTGCCCTTAGGTCAAAATGGAAATTGACGAAAATTGTAGATTAAACTTTAAAGGCCATGAAAATCATGAATTTTTAAAGCACATACATTTAATTATCATTGAGTTGAAACAAGCTTAAATTAACAAGACCTATGGGTTATAACCTATACAAATGATGGAATTTAAAGTACCCATAATCATTTGATTTAAAGTTATCCACAACACTTGTGGGTGCCCATGAAACTGGCGAAAATTTGAAGAACGCATTCTTATTGCCATTAGGTTAAAATGAACAAAATGGTCAAAAAAATGGGTTATAGCCCATGAAAATTGTGAAATTTAAAGTATCAATGCTTATTGCCATAGGATCAAAATGAACGAAAACTAACAAAAATCATATGTTATACCCTAAGTCAAACAGCTTGAAAATGCATATATAATTTCCATGGGTCAAAATTAACGAAGTAAATTGTGGGTTATAAAGCTATGAAAATTGTGAATTTTGAAGCACGTATTTGATTACTATTGTTAACAAAAATTATGGGTTATATCCCATGATAATCACTAATTTTGAAATACTCATAATTATTTGCTATTGGGTTGAAATAAATGAAAATTGAGAAAAGTTGTGGATGCCCATGAAAATCGTAAATATTAAAGTATGTATACTTAATTGTCATTAGCTCAAAATGGATGAAAAATGTGAGTTATAGGCCATGAAAATTGTGAATTTTGAAGTACATGTACTTATCTCCATTGGGTCAAAATGAAAGAAAGCTAACAAGAATTGTGGGTTATAGCCTATGAAAATCACAAAGTTTTATGGATGAATATACCATTGTGTCGAATAAAAATGTTCGAAAATTGTAGATAAAAGCCTATGAAAATCGTGATTTTTTATGTATATATACTTAAATGTTATTAGATCATAATGAACCAAACGTAATAAAAGCTTTGGGTTATAGTCTAGGTTGCATAGGTAAGGGTACAAGTATGGACACGGGTACTGATATAGGTACGGGTACGGGACATGGCAAATTTGTAAAAAGTAGGGTACGGGGACGCTATCTATATATATATATATATATATATATATATATATATATATATATATATTAAAAATTAACAATTATATTAACTATAGCAATTTTATTATGTTTAATTTCAAATTGAGAAATAAGCTCATTGCTTAAAATTATAAAGTAAACTCTTTGACTTTATATTCCACATAAGCATCAAAAAAGAGCTAAGCGGGCCGCTTAAACGGCCCGCCCAACTATTTCAAAAAAAAAAAAAAAAAAAAAAAAAAAAAGGGGGAAACCCAAACCCAACTTAACTGAAAACCCTAAATCCCATTTCTCTCCTGACGCCGCCACGAGAATATCTCGTTACCGAAACCCTGTTCCTCTTCGAAGCTTCCCCGACCTCGTCGAAGCTTCTCCGACCCTCGTCGATGCTTCCCTGACCTCGTCGAAGCTTCCCTGACATTCGTCGATGCTTCCCCAACCTCGTCTTTGATCTCTGAGCTTCCCACGACACATGGGAAATGAGCTGCTCCCGTGTCCCCTCCGTTTGGATGTGGAAACGTACCCAAACCGCACTCGACATGGGTACGACGTCAAAATTGCTGTGTCGGGGTAACACAGGTTATAGCCCATGAAAATTGTGATTTCAAAGTACCCATAAATATTTGACATTGAATCGAAACAAATAAAAATTAAAACAAATCGTTGGAGCCCATGAAAATCGCGAACTTTGAAGTTCGTATAAATTACCGCTAGATCTAAATGAATAAAATGGGTGAAAATTGTTGGTTAGCCCATGAAAATCTTGATTTTTGAAGTACGTATACTTATTATAAGATCGAAATGGGCAAAACTAATAAAAGTCATGTGTTAGAATTTTAAAGTACCCATACTTAATTGCTATTCGGTTGAAATGAACAAAATTTGAAATACATCATGTATACCGAATGAAAACTGCGAATTCTGATGTATCTAAAGAACAAAAGTGGCAAAAGTCGTGGGTTATAGCCGGTGACTATTGTGAATCTTTAACTATGCATACTTGAGTGCCATTTGATAGAAACAAACAAAAATGACTAAGAATATAACCCATGAAATTGCAAATTTAGAAATACACATGTCATTACCTTTTGGTCAAAATGAATGAGAATTGAAATGAATCGCGAGGTAGAGATAACGAAATTGCGACTTTTGAAGTCACCATACATAATTGCCATTGGGTGGAAATAAACAAAAAAGGAAATAAATTGTGGGTTAGCTCACAAAATCACAAGTTTTGAAATGACGTACTTGACTGTCATTGGATTGAAAAGAATAAGAAATGGACAAAAATCGTAAGTTATAAGAAGTGAGAATTTTGAATAGGCATAATTAAGTGACATTAGGTCCAAATGTTTGAAATGGTTAATTGCCATCAGGCTGAAAAGAAAAAAATTAACAAAAATTATGGATTATAGCCTATGAAATCATTAATTATGAGTTATGTATACTTAATTCCAATTGGGTTGAAACAAATGAAAACGATCATAATTCATCGATTATAGCCCATAAAAAGTGAAAGTTTATATATAATTGCTATTTGTCCGAAACAAAAAATGATAAAAATCATGAGTTAGATCATGAAATTCATGAATTTTAAAATATCCAGACATAATTGTCATTGGGATTACAAAAAGATGGTCTATATATTGGGTTTATAGCTCGTGAAATCGCGAATTTTGAAGTACGCTTAATAAATTATCATTGGACCGAAGCGAACGAACATGAACAAAAGTTGCATGCCTATGAAATTGTTAATTTGCAATACATATAATCAGGCTTATTGAGGCGCGCGCCTCGGGCGCGCCCCGGGCGCGGGGCGCTTTGGCCTGGGGGAAATGCGCCCCGCACGTGAGGCGGGGCGCTGCACGCAGCGAGGCGCGCGCCTCGCGTGCGCCTCACTTGCGCCTCGCTCGCGCCTCGCGTGCGCCTCGCGCGCGCCTCACACCTGCGTTATGTAACATACTCTTTCTTCTATTTTTTTAAATAATTTACATAATTACATATTTATATCATGTAATATACTCTTTCTTACTAGTTGCTAATCTATTTTCATCTTTTCATGTTTAACCTATAAAAAGGAAACAATAATTAGTAATTTAGTATACTTGTTTGCTAATTGTAACTTCATTCTCTAATTAGCATGCTAACTAGCAAATTATAAACATGTAAATATGTAATTGTTACATTCATTCTTCATCTTTTCATGCTAAGTAGCAAATATCAATTAAGAATACTAACTAGAAAATTATGAACAGTCATGTTTGTTAATTATATTTCTTAGTCTTTTATGTGACAATTTATAAACATATGCTCATAATTGTTAATCACTTAATTTGATGATTTAAATACATGTTTCTTGTATCTTTTTTATTACTTTAAAAATTCAGTTAGCATAATTTGATGATTTAAGTTGATATTCTCATAATTTTGGATGTAGGTAACTAATATGTTTATATGTTTCTGTCTTATGATGTTGGCAAATATTAGTTTGAGTTATGCGCCTCAATTAGTGAGGCGCGCGCCTCGTTGTGCGCTTTGCGCATGGTGCGCGTAAGGGACCTTTGCGCCCCGCATTGCGCTTTGCGCCTCGATAACACTGCATATAATTGAATTCCATTGGGTCAAAGTGAAAATGGTCATAAATATGCAAAGTCTGAAGTATGCATACTTAATTGTCAGTGGGTCAAAATGAACGAAAAATGAACCAAAATTATGTAAGCTCATAAAATTTTGACTATTGAAGTATATACACTTAATTATTATTGAATCAAAATAAACAAAAATTATGGGTTAACCTATGAAAATCGCTAATTTTGAAGTTCACTTAATTTGTCATTGAGTTGAAACGTATAAAATAAGACAATATCATAGACTGTAAGTACCTATGAAAATTGTGAATTTTAAAGTATGCATTATTAATTGTCATTGGATCAAAATGAACGTCACTGGTCAAAAAAATGTCGCAAAGTTTGAACTGCTCATACTTGATTTGTGGCCTAGCCCATGAAAATCGTAAATTTGAAGTTCATATACTTAACTGTTGTTAGGTTGTAACAAACAAAGTTTAACAAAATGGTTTGTTATAGCTCATGAAAATCACGAATTTTGAGATTTTTATTTGTCCTTGGGTCAATAAGAACAAAAATTGACAACAATAATGGGTTAAGCCCATGAAAATCGTGATCTTTGAAATACGCAAAATTAATTTGTTATTGGACAAAAATGAATTAAAGTGGAAAGAATATCACGAGGTTTGAAATATGCATACCCATTTGCCATTAGGTCAAAAATAATGAAATTGGCATAATTTTAGGGTAGCCCATGAAAAGTATGTACTTTAAACTCCGCATACTTAATTATTGTTAGGTCAAATAAACGAAATTAAAAAATTATGTGTTGTAGTCTTGTAGACCATGAAAACGTGAATTATGAAATACACATATATATTTGTTATTGGGTCAAGACAAACGAAAATGGATAAAAAATCATGACTCAAATATCCCAAAATCGCGAATTTTGAAGTAACATATATAATTTTTATTAGGTTTAAACAAACAAAAATGGACAAAAATCTTGGGTTAGCTCATGAAAATCGTGAATTTTGAAGTACACATGTTTAGTTGTCTTTAAGTGAAAACGAAAGAAAATTAAAAAAAATCATGGTTTATATATATAGTCCATGAAAATTATAAAATTTGAAGTATGTATATTTAATTATCACTTGGTCAAAACATACGAAAAAGTTCAAAAATATCATGAAGTTTGAAATACACATACTTAATTTTTATTGGTCAAAATGAAAAAACACACGAAAGCTGTGGATTATATAGCTCATAGAAATTGTGAATTTGGAAGTGTGTATACTTAATTTGCATTGAATTGAAACAAATGAAAATTAACAAATATTATAGGCTAACATATGAAATAAAAAATTGTGATGTAAGCATACTTATTTGGCATTAGGTTGACTCGAATAAAAATTGACAAAATTGTGGGTAGCCCATGAAAATCATGGATTTTGAAGCACACATAATTCATGGGTCAAAACAAAATAAAAGGGTCAAAAATTTTGACCTTTGAAGTATGGACAATTAGTTTTCATTAGGTCAAAACAAAGAAAAATGATAAACATTGTGGGTTATCACCCTTAAAAATTGTGAATTTTGAACTTCACATACCTAATTGTCATTGGGTTGAAAGAAACGAAAATGAAAGAAAGCCATCGGTTATAACCCATGAAAACATGAATTTGAAATATGCTTTCACAATTGCCATTGGGTTGAAATGAACAAAATCATGAGCTAGTGGTCATGAAACGTCGAATTTTCAAGTGCCATACATAATTGTATATTTGTATTCGGTTGAATCTAACAAAAAAGAAAAATAATCGTGAATTATTGTCCATGAAATTGCAAATTTTGAAATACACATACTTAATAGCTATTGGGTCAAAACGATGAAAATGAATAAAAACTGTAGATCATGAATTTAGAAATATGGATAATTAAGTGTCGTCCAATCAAAACAAATGAAAATGTCCAAAAATATGGGGAAGTTCGAAATAAGTATAGTTAATTGCCATCCGGTCAAAGTGAACAAAAATGGACGAAGATTGTGGATTATGCCCTATAAAAATCGTGAATTTTGAAGTGCGTATACTTAATTGCCATTGGGTCAAAACAAATAAAAATTAATAAAAAATCATGGGTTATAGCCTATGAAGATCATGAAGTTTTTGAAGTACCCATACTTAATTGTCATTGGATAAAAACAAAGGAAAATAGACGAAAATCGTGATTATAGCCTCTAAAAATTGTGATTTTTAAAATATGCATAATTAATTGTCATTGGGTCAAAACTTACAAAAACGATAAAAAATATCGTGAGGTTTGAACTTTGAATTATGCATGCTTCATTGCCGTTGGGTGGGAATGAATGAAAATTGACGAAAGTTGTGGGTCATGACCCGTGAAAATCATAAATTTTGAAATAAATATATTTATTTGCCATTGGACCAAAAAAATGTAGATTTACAAAAATCATGGGTTAAGCCCTTGAAAATCACATAATTGAAGGGGCCCTAAGGAAAGCTTCTATACTATATTCAAAAGAAGACCCTCCTATGGTTTGTGTGAGCTTAATTTGTAGGATTCTGAAAATGCCCTCGTATTTGTAAAAGATGGATATGCCTCCACAGTTGATACTTGATAAAATCGGTCCTCACCTTGAAAATCTAACGGAAGTGACATCAAACTAGGAGAAATCCCCCCCAAAAAAAGTCCATTCCCCTGACCCGGAATACAAGTCTTTCATTAAGTGAAGTGATGTAATGGAAGCGTTCTTGACGTGTCAGGATCGGACAGTGTATGTGTATCAGCCTCATAGTTGAAGACAGGATTGTAATGCTTTTGGGCTATTATAAACTTTTGTAGACTGCAATCTATCTTTTTTTCTTTGGTCTTCCCTTCGATATTTGGTGTCAATATGTCAATAGCTGGGCATTGAATTGAAACCATAAAAATGTTGCTAATGAGGCCATAGAGTGTTACTGTATTACCTTACCATCATTGGAGAATTGAGCATCATTTATACAAATATCTCCTAGTTGTGGGATTCTTATTTACACTTTTTCCTTTTACTTCACCTCTTATCTCATGTGGAACTCTTTATTGATATTTAACATACATGTAAATTTATTATTTCTGACTCCTATCATAATTGTCTAAACAGGCACTTACCTTCATAACTAGCCATAGCAGAAATCCAGCTTCTAGATGATGATCAATGTCAATCTTCCTGAATGTTTCTTCATTTGTGCATTGTTATCTTGAGCTTGTCCATTATTCACATCATACTATGGTAATACTAGTCAAGTTTCCTCAAACTTTTGAAGTACTTCTGTGACGAATGTTGCTTGAACTGTCAATTAGGGTACACCGTTAATATTATACTAAAACTTTTAATCCGTAGAGAAGTTCATATCTTTAATATTTCATGGCACTTACTATTATGTTTCAAGGTTTTAAATATTGGTTATCGAGGATTTATCGGACGGCCAAAATCCTTATCATATAGCGGAAATCAGGGATATCGGGGATAAGTAGTATTTATCGGAGTGATAGACCGTATGATGTATATATATAATATAATACCCCAAATTGTAATCTAACCATACTCCCCTCTTTCATTCTCTCAACCTTCACTAAATAATCAGAGGAAAAAACTAACTGAATAGTGAATATTACCTATTGCTACAACTTCAGAAGTTGTGTTGAGGGCGTGGTGTCGATAGAGAGTTCAAGTCGAACTGTCAAAGTCACAGTTGATGATGGCGTTGATGGAGAGCTCGACGTCGATGGATGGAGAAAGCTCTGCATCAATGGAGAGCTCGACGTCGGTCAACGCCGTCGAGTCAATCAGTTGATGATAGTGTCGTGGAGAGAGCTTAGTGTCGGTCAAAGTCGTTGAGTTGATGTAGTTGACGTCGATGAGAGAGCAGCGTCAAATGGTGAAGTCGATAGCGTTGAGGTCAATTAAGTCCGAAGAGGAACGGAGATCAGAGGATTAGGGCAGTGGGCACAACCGCACAAATAAGGGGAGAGTGAACAGAGGATTAGGGCTACAAAATCAGGTTTAAGTTTTATTGTAAAGAACGGGTGGAGTCAGGTTTTAAGTTCACTCAAAAATTGCCCATTACCCAAAATCACAACCCAATAGTGTGGCCTGATAATTTTGATTTTTAGAGCTGTTAATATCAGCCGATAATCACCTTTATCGCCTCATTATCATCGATAAACCCTAAAAAATGATAATCGATTTAAATTCCAACATATCTTATCGGAAAGCTCCCAAAACCAATAACTCGGGGATAATATCGGATTATCGGCTAATATTTAAAACCTTGTTATGTTTATCATCACCTTTACCCTCAAAACGTTGGTTTCATGTTTTTTACCCTAAGAACTTATGGCATTTTCCAGGTGTTACACGTACCTTGCATTTGTAAATAATAAGTTATATAGATGTAAAGGTTTATAGTCTACTATCTTTACTTTGATTAACATAGACACGCGCATGCATATCTACCTTTCATAAGGTTGTTCATTTATACATTCATATATTACATCCCACGTCTGAGTTTTAAAAAAATTTCTTTTTCAGGATCTTGTGTTTATCAAAGATATTTGCCACTGAACTGCCTTTCTTTTCCTTGGTCTTTTGCATCTATTTACATCGTCTTTGATGTTTATTACTTTGCTTGGTGCAATTGATATTTTTATGCGTCTCATATTGTTGCTAATACACTAGTTATCCTCCGCCACCATTCATCAAAATTCACACACAACTTCTTGCATTTCACTTTCCTACTTTCTGTCATTACTATTTTATTTTTAGGGTTTTTTTATAATAGTCCCTCATATTAACCTTAGTTTCATATAGGTCCTTCAGCTTTCTGTATTTCTATACTGGTCCTCAAGTCATTTAAGCCTCATTTTATTTGGTCCGTTCTAGATAAATTAAACCACTTGTACTCAAAATATTCCAAATATTCCATTAAATTTAACTAAGAATGTTGTGAGACCATTTTCCTTCTCCATCAGTTATCTCTTATCTGTTAGTCTTGAACAGTCACCTACCATGATTCTTCTCAGTGAATGGAGAGTACGAGATTTTAAGAGGGAAAATAGGTCAGGGTTTTTATGAGAATTCTTCTTTGGTGGTTTTGTTGTACTGGAGGAATGTTCTCAAGTTAGAATACGTCGAATATTCCAAGTATTGGTAGTTTAATATAATTATGAGGACTAATTTGATGCCAATTAAAGGACTTGAGAGGTTATTATGAAGATATCCATGTTCAAGAGAATAGTACAAACTAGTTTTGTTTGATATCTTATCTTTCTTATTACCACTGCTCTCCTTTTTCAGAGAAATGTATATGAATCTAGTTGATCCAATCAAGAACATCCATGTCTGTCTCTAAACTATTGAGAGTGACTTAAAAGAGTAGTGATAACTATACACGTTCCAATTTTTGTGCTATAAAAAACAAAATTGTAGGGTCATTCATACTAAATTACTACCAAACTTTACGAGTCATCGAAGGATCCTGCACTTTTCTTTCTTGTATTAGAAATGCAGTGTAGGATTTGTAGTATTTAGCACTATCCATTTTAAATGCTGTGTGAGTTTGAAACCAATTAATCGATGGAATGTTCAAGCCCTCCTAGATACAGAGACATATCATTTCTTGCATTTTTGAATTACTGTTTATATTTCGTAACCTCCTGATAAATGGATAAAAGTTCTTAAACCCTTCCATTTTCCATTGAAATACATATCTTCCTAGTCTATTATAGACACAGGACCTCAAACACATGCCTAATGCATCATTGGCTGGTGCCAATTTGTAGTTGAGGAAACAAGATGGAAAATAGGACAAATTTTCAAAACAGTCCTATTTGGACATTTAATCTGAAAAAACGACCCATTTTGAATTTATTTGTAAAAACCGATCTGGTTTCAGCGTCAGGGCTGAAACCAGGTCGGTTTTTGCAAAAAAAGTTCCGAAACTTCACGGGACTTCAAGTCCCGTGGAGTTTCAAAGCTGAAGTTACGTGCAGTTCCCACCCCATTCCGCTCACTCCCCCATTCCCCTTCTCACCCTCCCTAAATCAGAAAAATGTTGTCCTCTCACAGCTGAAGAGCTTTGAGTCACTGACTCACTGTCCAATCCTCTCTCTCTTTCCCCCAATTAATTAATTCCTAGGGAATTAATGAAACGGAGAGAAGGCCAGGCCTGCACATCTTCCTTCATTCTTCTTCTTCCCCAGATTCAATGGATCTGCTGCTGTTTTGGGGAGGGAGATGAAGGGGAACGAGGAGTTCTTCATAATAAATTAATCAAAGTACAGATCCCGAACGCGCATATTAAAGTAAACTGTAATAGCGACAAAATTACAAAAGTTTGTGTAAAAATTAAAAAACCTAGGATCTCGAGAGAGCGGAATCGATCAGCTGGTGATGGATTAAGAGGGGGAATTGAGATCTGAGAGGGAAGATTGGATCGAACCTGTAGAAATCGACGGATTTGAGCTTGCTCGAAGTGATCATCGTGGCGACGGATGGAGTGAGATCTCTCTCTCTCTCTCTCTCTCTCTCTCTCTCCCCCCTTCGAAATTGAGAGATTTATGAAATGAAAAGGGAGGATAAATGAGTGAATAATAAGAGAGAGAGAGGGATGCAGTGTTAACAATTTTTTTTAAATTCGGTGAAGTTCTTCCGAAGATTACGTCTCGTGGAGTTTGGGCATTTATGAATTTTTGAAACTTCACGGGACTTGAAGTCCCGTGAAGTTTAGAAGCTTCACTAACTTGTGACTAAACTTCACGGGACTTGAAGTCCCGTGAAGTTTCGACTGTTTTTTTGCAAAAACCGACCTGGTTTCAGCCCTGACGCTGAAACCAGGTCGTTTTTTGCAAATAAATTCAAAATAGATCGTTTTTTAAGATTAAATGTCCAAACAGGACTGTTTTGAAAATTTGTCCATGGAAAATATCAAGAATATTTGGTGGGTGGAGAAACCTCCCTTACTAATCATCCAATTCATCCTTGTGCAGGCTAAGGGTAACCTTTCAAAATTCTCCTTGATTAAGGAAGAGCTCCAAAGTAGAGGCTTCAGGACCTGCATTTACCTCCAGTGGACAACATAAATCAAGGAGCTGCACATAGGCCTTCTGAGTGAAACTTTGATAAGTCTTATTACCGTCAGAGACGGAAAAATCTTCTTTGAAAAATAAACTTCCTGTAATAGTAAAAAAAATTTCACTTAGGGGTCTTTCTGCAACAATAGAACTAGAGGCGGTCTATCCATAATTGGGTGATAGTACAGAGGGATTTATCTGAGAGTAAATGCATAGTAGTGTTATTGAGGGGCTTATCTAAGAATAAATGCATAGTAGATATATCGTTACTTTGCAGTGAGTGAATGAATGAAATAGCTGAACATCATTCTCTCAAGTACAAATAAAGATAATACCATTGCACTTCAAGGGGCCAATATGTATTAAGATTGAAACTTTATACATGAGTGTATGCTGTTTAAATGTTCTCACTCAAAAAAAAAAAAAAAAAACCAATCCTTTCTGTACGATAATAAGTTAGGACTGTGCCCATAAACGAGAGAAGAGAGCATGGTAAGCTGCAAGCGTCAAAGCTTCGCATATTTTCTGACAATTTCTTCATAGCCTTTCATGTCATCTGATGCTGGAAGATTTGATACTAAAGTAATCTTTGATGTTGAGAGCAGTATTTTTTTCGCTGAAGGATTCATCTTCCACAGCTGCACCTCCCATACCTTTATAGGTCATGCCATCATCATGTTAGCTAAGTAACTATATGTTTCGAAATTAAGCACTAAATGGAATATAAAGTTGCCATAAAGTAACATTTGTGAGGTAGAGCCGTACCTTTGGATACCCGGAGAAACAATTTGATTAACTATACTATATGTTGGTAACTTAAGCATATATCTTCTGTAAATAACCCAATGCGATAGAAATATTATGTTAATGAAGACAATCTTTTCTTATTTATTTATTTTTTACTATTCAAAGGTCTTCAGTGGTTAATATTTTATCTGGCTCGAATTGTCCATAGTTTAAGTCAAATTAAGGTGGATGAGTCAAACTTTTGCGGAGGTATATAAACTGTAAAAGCCTTGAAGCTTGATTCTTAGAACTAGATGCTGGGGAACCTGTATTTTAGTCTGGGATACCCTGAATGGAGTTGAGAAGAACTGAAAATTTAAGAAATTTTTTCTTGTACTTAATAGTAACAGAATAGCAATCAGGTTTGTTTGAAGGACCAATCTGTCTCGTATTTGAGGCGTTTGTAGTGAATGAAATAAGTTTGATGCTCTCAGTGTCAAATAGCAAGATTTTGGAAGAGCAGAGCTCACTAGCACTATTCTCTGTGAAAGTTAAGGAAAACATGGCTATCAGTTGATCCTTGATAATGCGGCAAACGAGATAATATTTTCACTAGTTATTCATTCTCTGTATGATCTGACATTAACTAAACAAGAGTTCATATTTGTGAAAGTTAGGATGGTATTTTGTGACGATGACTGCCGATGTGAACCTTCTTCTTCTAGGACGAGTAAATCTAACAACAATATCATCCTGGATTCCCATGGTGCGCTATGTGTAACTATTCTATTTTTCTACAAATCCATTTAGAGCTCAGTAATGCATAGCACAAATAAGGTTCTTTCATTTGTTTTGATTATTAGGCTATGATTTTGGAGGTGATGGAATGTTTTGAGGCATGTTTCGGTTTCGACTATGGACTGTATTTTGCGCAAACTTCTGCATTTTGTGTTTTTCTCTCTTAACCTATTGTTAGCCTGAACATCTGGACTGGAGCATATGAAAGTAAGACAGTGGTCCCTTATGTCTTTTTGATAGATTATGAATTGGGCAAATCAGGAAGGTAATTAATTTATTCCAACGCCTAAATGGTCTTATTAGTCCTAGCAGCGGACATTATGGAATTTAGAGCTGCGATATTTTCAGTTAGCTGAGGAAAGATGTTGATGCCAATATCTATGACCAACCAAAGAATTGGCGTCGAGTGGGTGTTAGGTTACCATCAACACCGAAGTTGATTACTACAGGTTTGATAACTGCTTTAATCTTTCACCCACTTCCACACTTTCACCTGCACATCCACCCAAGCAACAAGGAAAGAAGAAGGTGATTTATTCACTTTGGGCTTATTTTCACTAATTTGGTACCACATTGTGACCCATTTTGACACCCCCAGAGTATTTTCTCCAACACCTTGATACTCCAAAGGTTAAACTCAATTTCACTTTAGTACCCCCCATCCAAGACTTTACTAGATTCTCTGTTAAATTTGTCTTATGTTTAGGTCCCATTTTACCCAGCTGCTAGACATCCAAAAACAACCAGATGTCTCTATTGGCAGCTGTTGATGGGGGTATCGTAGAAAATCTAGGGGTATCAAACTGCAATGGGATTGAAACTTTAGGGTATCAAAGTGAAAAAATCGGTGAAACTTTTCACGTTACCTGAATAGTTTTTCCTACTTGAATCGGCAGGGCTTCCACCTGCACAAGGTCCCCCAGGAGAGCCGCCTTGATGTGGTTCGTCGACAGCTGAGCCCCAGCCACCCTCCTGAACCCGGACGCCACGTACGCTCCCAAGCTCGCCACCGATTCTGCCATCATCGCCGAAACTCCTCCATTCAACACGCCAAAAGGCTGAATCATAGAAAACAATCAGGGACAGCGCTCAGCCTATGTACGGAGAAGAGTAAAGTTTCTAGCTAGCATATATTTATCTTTCATATATACCTGGCAACATATCTCTGTGACTTTGAGCCTTCCTGTGACTCTTTGCGGCGATATGAGCTCGTACTCAAAGCCAATCGCGTTGAGCGGGCGGTCGAGGGCTGCTGTCGCCTCTGATATCGTCGCCGCCGTTGGCGGAGTCGCAGCAGACATCTTTCTTGTGCGCGTGAAATGGTTTATTGAAGAAGCACCTTGATTCTTTGCCTCCTTTTTCCCTTCACATTTTAGGTGTGGTAGGTGTGGTCACCGGCTGGTGAAGATTAAGATATGGGATAAGGCTGTTCAATAATTGCTTGGCAGGTGAAGTTCACTTTCGCTTACTTAGTTTTGTAGCTTTGGTTGTGGATTCTGTAGATACGGGACGGACTCTTTCTCCATTGGCTGTTCCATTTTTTTGAAGCTTTTTTTTGTCGCCCCTCCATAGTATCTTATTGAATTTATGAACATGGCTAGGATCCAAATTTTTGGATTGATTTTGTATTGGTAGGGTTGGGTAACTTGGGTTTGGTGCAGTTTGACTGGGTCCGGGTTCCATCGAATGAGCTTGTTGCTGGAAGGCATTTGATCGGTTCAGTGAGAACAAATAAGAAAGAACTAGGGCTGCAAAGCCATACTGGTACCACATGTATATCCGTAATCGCGTGCGTTAGGAAACGTGTATGGTTACTCAAGTCTATAATCAATAGAATACGGTTATGAATATCGTTTTGTAGTGAAATATCCGGATCAATATCTGAATAAATTGTTGTTCATACAGTTATAATTGTTTCAATCATTCAATTAATGAATTTGAGACTAATTTTGATGACCAAGAGATCCAATCTTAGCTTTTTCATATATAACAAACATATTAATGATTTTTTTTATCATACGAACTATATATTTTTGGATATTATTTCGTTTTATCTGAATATATATTCACAAATGTATCCGCATATATATTCGTATCCGTATCCGATTTTAACGGATATGGATATGAGTTATTCTTATCAAGATATACTTACATTCCTATCTATATTCATGATTGGCAAGCGGATATGGATTGTTAAATATTTGCACCCATAGAAAGAAGAACCCTTATCTGTATCACGTCTTGGGCGAATCGGGAATAACCAGCAGACGATGGAAGACTATGGCAAGTAAATGGGCTGGGCTCAAAATTAGGCCTTTTGTTTTAGGATTTGGCCCATTGTTACTGGCTCACAAGTGTATGTATAGTCTTTGTGGATGTAGGCCGTCGTCTCATCAGAATTGGGCCCATTAGTTACTGGCTAGAAGCTGCATTATGTGCAGTTAACATAGGGCTGAGCAAAGTTCGGCTTCAACCCATTAAACGAGGAAATTTTGGTTTTAACCGGCTAAACCGATCGAAACCTTCCGCTTTTGAGCAATTCGGTTCGGTTTTACACTCAGTTCGGACCGGGTCGGGTTACATGCTTTTCCAACCGAGTAAACTCACGTTTCTTTCTCAGACATTTCAAATTACACCCATCTATTTAAATTTTTATTATGATTTCTCTCTTCTATACATTTCCTTCCGTTGCATCTGCGCTCAAGATGAGAGACCGAATCAAAAATACCGACCGAATCGAAGCTAGAACACTAGTTGTGGTGCGGTTCGGTTCTAGTATTAGATCGGTTCGGTTTGGTTCAGTTTGCTTGAAAACAATGAAAACTGACGGAATCGACCATTTGTTCGTCCTTTATGTAAACACTCACAATCAATAAGAAATAACATCAAAATTTAAATTGGTTTGGTCAACCAATGAGATATATATAATACGAGAAAATCCATTACGTATCGTGAAGCACCTACAAGAGGAAGCACTAAACTGTCTTTTATCAATATCTCAATCTCGCATATATAATAAACTCTAATATTCTCTCCAAAGCCAACTTTTTATAATTTTTTGAAAAGATGAAGACTGCGAAATCCTTTCCCAACATTGTAATTTTTTGTACGGATAAAAACTACGAAACAATGTCCTCTCACACACTATTCTTGAATCCGGTTTGCACCCTCTGCTAATCTAAATTCCAAGAATATTGACTCTCTCCTACTCATTGGTTTTTTTCCTCCAACAATAGAAGACTACATACATGAAAACCAAAAACTTTGTTCTTAAACTAACTTCCTAATTAGAATACGATAAAAAACTCTTTATCATGATGAGACCCAATCTCATGATCATGATAGACATCTAACCTTACCTAATTCCCCTAAAAGTTATATAAGAAATCAAAGACACAGTATCAACGGCATCATTCTAATCCCCATACCCCGAGTGTCTTTGCACGAGTGGGAGAATAATATACGATATATTATCTAGTGATATTGGTTCATTTCATTAATAATATTCTAAAAGAGTGTCCACTTTCGATAGCACACAATCAATTATCATGATATAGTTATTTTGTATGTATCAGGAAATACGTAGATATTATAATACATATAATGTAATTTTGACTATTTCCCCCATAGTTTGTAGGATTTCTATTATTACTAATAAAAAAACTTTTAAATTCGAGGTAAGTGTAGTTTGCACTATCTAGTCTAAATATGGTCATTTCCACGCCTCAAGTTCAGAATAGACATTAATTTTGCATTCCTTGATATAAGTTCGGTGTACCTTTTTCCTCTAAAAAAGTAATATCTAACTAGAATAAGAATTTGATGTGTTTTGCTTTCCCCATCAACTTTTGTTGTTAAGCAAATTAAGCATAGTGTATATCACGTACTGCAACGCGAAGGCATTAATTCCTTCAGCTACTTTTGGTTTTGACCTCTAAAAATGCATGTAAAATGTGATTATTAATGTTAATTAGTCCTTTTTTATTGCAGATTCTAAGCATGGGCAAATCATTACTTATTATTGCGGTGAAGCTTAGGCAACTTCTATTAGGCGAAAATTTGACATGTTTTTTTTAAATATTTTTTTGGGCGGATAATAGCGCTAAAGGGAAGTTTATATCCACAATTGGTTGATATATAACAAAAGGGCCTATCTACAATTAAACCAATTTTAAACCCATTTTACATGCAAAAGGGTATTTGTACCATGAAATCAAGATTAAAACCAGAATAAAGAGAACATGGCATATTTAATATATTAGTAAATCTTGTATTGGTGATACCGACACATGATTTATAATGGTAAAATAAAGGAATTGAATATTGAAAAATCACATGTTCTTGACTTATACTATAACCTTCGTGTAAAAGGGCAGAGAAATATATATTGGTTAATCCGCTAACATCTAGGAAAAGATCATAGAAGCCTTAGACCAAATATTTGTGAGCACGTGGGGGGGACCACGTGATTGGTTGTGGGAATTTTGTTTCCGCGTGAAGTGCAGCAAGGCCCACCCGATTGATCACCTATTGATCACCTATATATACCTATTAATCCCTTAGGGTTATTGGGTGCGGAAGGAGGACGTGCAAAGGAGTTTTCTCGGCTTGGTGTCTTTTTGCGGCTACAGTGCAGGAGAGATTTTTCGGCTTAGTGGATTTTTTCGGCAGAAAAAAAAAAAACAAAGCAAGAAAAATAGAAGAGGACTGTGCGGCTGTGCAAAAGAAAAGGCAGAGGCCTATTTTTGGGTTTTGTGCATCCTTTCGAGAGAGTTTTTGTGAGAGATTAGAGAGTTAGTTTGAGGGTTTATTTTGTGAGATTGTAAACCTATTGTATTTTCTCTCTAATAGTAGATCCTCCTCCTTGCCCCGTGGACGTAGGCAGTTTGCCGAACCACGTAAAATTGATTGTTTGAGTTTGTGGCCATTGTAATAGTTTTAGGATCCCTCGACGCGCAGTCCTAGAGCTGACGAGAGGAAGAGCAAATATCCCACTTTGATGGGATATTAGGCTTTCAGATTCTTGTTCCCTTTGAGAAACAAGAATTCTTATCGATCTTTCTCTCTTATTGTGCACCAGAAACTCTGCCGAAATTTCCGCTGCGCACAACAAGTGGTATCAGAGCTCAGATTCCAGATCTAGGGTTTGGTTAGAGGAGTAGATCAATTTGGAGGCCCGTTTAGGACTTCGTTGGTGATAAAGGTGGGATCTTTTGGTAAAGACTCTATCTTTTTAGTTTTGAATCTATTCTTTGTTCGTTGGTGCGTAAAATGTCGGGGAAAGAAGGTGCTTCGGGTGTCGAGGGCGGTGCTTCTGGCGCGAAGACCATTCAAAGTCTGAATATCCATTCTATGAAGATAGATGTGGAAAAATTTAATGGCACAAACAACTTTGGATTATGGAGATGCGAGGTTTTGGATGCGCTGAACGCGCAGAATTTGGAGGATACCTTGGAGTTAGATGGCAAGCCAGATGAGATTAAAGAGAAGGTTTGGAAGAAGATGAATCGAACGGCGTGTGGTGTGATTAGGTCTTGTTTGACTCAAGATCTAAAATATGATGTGATGAATGAGACTTCTGCGAAGAAGATTTGGGAGATTCTCGAAAGCAAGTATTTGACCAAGAGTGTGGAAAATCGCTTGCATTTGAAGAGGAGACTTTATCGTTTCCAGTTGAAGAAGGGAACCTCCATTAGAGATCACATGAACCACTACACAAAGCTTCTTGCGGATTTGGCGAATGTGGATGTCAAGATTGAAGATGAGGACAAGGCGTTGCTGTTGTTGAGTTCCTTGCCCGACGAGGAATATGAGACCTTCGTTCTTACTCTGATTAATGGGAAGGCATCACTTTCGTATAGTGAGGTCACTGCTGCACTTGTGAATTATCAGCTTCGAAAGAAGGATAAGGAGGCTTCGGTTGAGCCGGTAGCGGAGACGTTGGTCGCAAGAGGGAAGGGTCCAAACCGAAAGAATTGGAAGTCACAGTCTAGAGTAGGAAAAGATCAGTGTGCTTGGTGCAAGGAGACTGGTCATTGGAAGAAAGACTGCCCAAAGCTCGACGAATGGATAAAGAATAAGCAGAAGGGAAAAGGAAAGCAGCCATCATCAGAAGCAAACATCGTATCGGATGGTAATAATTCTGACTCTTCTATTTATTCGCTTTCTATCAGTCCTACAGATAGCTATTCGGAGGAATCTGAATGGATGTTGGATAGTGGTGCGACCTATCATGTGTGCCCTAGAAGGGAATGGTTCTCCAGTTTTGAGAAGCTGGTGGATAGTGGTGTGGTGTACATGGCTGATAACCGTGCATGCCAGATCCTTGGGATAGGAAGAATTCGCATAAAGATGTTTGACGGGACTGTTAGAGAGTTAAACGATGTGAGATATGTTCCTTCTTTGAGGAAGAACTTGATCTCGATTGGAGCTTTGGTTGGAGAGGGTCTGAAGGTTCGTGTTGAGGACATGGTTCTCGAGATTGCGAGAGACTCTCGTATTTTGATGAAGGGCGTCAGGAGAAATAACCTGTATTACTTGACTGGAGGTATAGTGGCAGGTGGAGAGCTGACGACTTCTGTTGATTCGACTAGACTGCGGCATTTGGGGCTTGGCCATTCCAGTATTGATTCCTCGCATAGATTGAAAGAGGGTGCAAAGACCTGCAGTTTGAAGTCCAGTGAACATGTTGATGTGAGCAAGAAGACCGAGGTGAAGTGTGGCACCTCTATTCACCGTGCTAAGGGTCGTTCTGGAGGAGTTCACGTGGATGTTTGGGGGCCTTCCAAGGGGGCATCATTGGGAGGTAATAGGCGTTTGGTTT